CTGTTTCTTACCATAGGCATTTTACTAATTTTTGAATTTAATCCAATTATGATTTAATTTATGAAATACATTGAAAAAAATATGTATAATGATGAAAATAATGTGACGTGATCTGACATATTAGGGTCAGTCTTGCTATAGTTCGATATAATATGACTTACATGATATCTGGTCATATTGGGGCAGTTTAGATAGCCATATTGATAGAGACTTGTAGGATCTATAATGTATAGTCAAGGCTTGGTGAGTGGGATTGATGGAAGTAATTAAGGCTATATAGTTGTTTAGGAACTATTTCTAAATATTATAAATATTATATTAATTTTAAAACATTTTGTTCAAAATAAATTAAAATAATTTTTCTTATGTGTATTAAAAATATTTTCTTAATTCATTTTCTTCCATAAGCATTCTTTATGAAAATTAGGGAGCATTTTGTTGGATCTCTCAAGGAGCTTCTCTTTTATTGCTAGACTATCTCTCTCTCTCTCTCTCTCTCTCTCTCTCTCTCTCTCTCCAAAGGCAAGAAGTATGGTTTTGGAGGAAAAGTTTTGATTAGTGGAATCCTAGCCTTGGTGTGTGTTACGTGGCCTCGATGTGGGTTAAGTGGAGACATAGCTTAGATTGGTGGCCAAAACATAATTTTTGTGCCTATTGTCTCACTTATTTTATATTAATTATGACAAAAGATACATCACCTAATGTCTATTAATGAAAAATCTATCAATATCTTAACTTATTTTTCCAATATCATTATTCATGACAAATTAATAATGAAATGTAATTTTCTAAGAGGGTTTAATTGTAAAAATAATTCATGAATTAGTTTAATTCATTGGATACCTTTCAACATCATTTGGTTTCTTTCTAACTAGTTATTCCATCATTGATAGTGAATTTTCTAAAGTTACATTCATATAAATCATTAAATTGAGTATGCAATTATACTTTTATTTAACTCACATTCATTGTGCAAAATCAATCAAAGTAATTATAAATCCTAATCAATTCTCCTTCTCTTAAAGTGTCATAGTCATCCCATAATTATCATCTTTCCTTGGCTCTATTATTTGGTTTAATGACCTGAAATAGACTCATATATACACTATGATATAAGGATTTTCCAAGAATTCATGACATGAAGGTCAATTTATATATAAACTAACTTAAAAGGTTGATGAAACTACAAATTTATTTGTCATTTGAATACTTAGTAGAGAGAAAGCCATATTACATCTAAAAATAAAATATATTTCACTTTAGAAACACAATTGATAAAGTAGTATACAACTAAATATATATTAGAACTGAAAGAGATGGAGAGCAAAACCAAGATTGGAGGAAAATTCTTGAGACGAATCTCACGAGAATGAGTTGGAGCTTCTTAAGAATGAGAATGATCTTCAATGAGAAGGATCTCCAAGGTTCCTAATTAGAATGAACCTTGGGGAGTTTATCATGTTGACATAACTATCTTGTAATGTGTATGGCTAGAATTAAACCATTTTGAGGGTGCACAAATTGAAGAGCATCATTAAAACAAATCTACTAGTAAAAGTAACCAAGCTAAAATTTAAATATTTATTAGCATGTTGACAACTATAATGAGGAACGTGAAGTGAGATTTTGTTCTATGTGAGTTTTTTTAGGAGAGAGTCGTTAGTTAACTCATACGTATTTGATGTTGCCTTAGTGAATGAGAGAAATTTTGTGTCTTATATGAGTTTAATGGCTATGTATTGTCGGTCAAGTAAGGCTGATTTATAGACAACTTGGCAAGATCTAGTGCAAGGAGACTCTTGGCTTTAGGCAAAAAGTATGATAAGTTTGAAGTTATAGGTAGTCAGTTTATGAAAGAATCCACAACTAAGTGAATGAAGAATTGTTGCGTCCTGGAGTATTCACGGTGGTAGAGAAATATATAGTTTATCGTCTTAACATTGTACGAAGATCCATCACATAATCAGATAAGTGAGAGGGTGTAGCGTTCATAAGAGACACCAGAGTTTTTATGTGGAAACCCCTAAAAAGGGGGCAAACCACAGGGCTTGGCCTAGTTTGAATAAATCCACTAGTATTTGCAGTCAATTATAAATGAGGCCCTTTCTTGGGAGAAGGCCTTGGTTTTGATGATACAAATATACTTCATATAGAGCGCATTACATGGTGGGAGTTACAATGTAGACATGTTTGTTTGGTCGGTACGATCATAGTCGATTGGATGGAGGTCAGAAAGACTAGTGTCATGTGATGGAGGCTGGAAGGATCATAGTAGGCGACAGAGGTCAGAAGGACCGTAGTCGGCAGAAGACCGGGGTCAGAAAGACCGTTGTCTATTGATGGAGGTCGGAATTATCATATTAGGCGATGGAGGTCTGAAGGATCGTAGTCGGTAGGAGACCGGGGTCAGAAAGACCGTTGTCTTTTGATGGAGGTCGAAAGGACCATAGGAGGCGACGGAGGTCAGAAGGATCGTAGTCGGTAAGAGACTGAGGTCATAAAGATAGTTGTCTTTTGATGGAGGTCAGAAGGACCTTAGTAGGCGACGGAGGTCAGAAGGACTGTAGTCGGCAGGAGACTAAGGGTCTAAAAGACCGTAGTTGGAGGACGGTACTTTGGTAGAAGTCCGTGTGTCAGGTGGTTGCCTGGTGGAGCTCGGGGCCTCAAGTGGCAATCCGGTGGAAGTCTGGGCCTCAAGTAGTGGCCTGGTGGAGCACAGAGCCTTAAGTAGTTGTCTAGCAGAAGTCTGGGCTTCAAATGTCGGTCTGGCAGAAGTTCGGGCCTCAAGTGGTGGTCCGGCAGAAGTCCAAGCTTTAGGTGGTGGTCCGGCGGAGCAACGGCGTCAGGCGGTGGTTCGGCGGAGGTGAGGGCCTTAAGTGGTGGTCTGACAAAGGTGAAGGCCTCAAGTGGTGGTCCGGCGGAGCAACGACGTCAGGTGGTCCGGCGGAGGTGAGGGCCTCAGATGTGGTCCGACAGAGCAATGGCGTCAGACGGTGGTCCAGCAGAGGTAAGGGCCTCAAGTGGTGGTCCAGTGGAGCAACGGCGTCAGGCGGTGGTCCGGCGGAGGTGAGGGCCTCAAGTGGTGGTCCGGCGAAGGTTAAGGCCTCAAGTGGTGGTTCGACAGAGCAACGATGTCAGGCTGTGGTCTGGATGAGGTGAGGGCCTCAAGTGGTGGTCCGGTGGAGGTGAGGGCCTCAGGTGGTGGTTCGGTAGAGCAACGGTGTCAGGTGGTGGTCCGGAGGAGGTGGGGGCCTCAAGTGGTGGTCCGGTGGAGCAACGGCGTCAAGCGGTGGTCCGACGGAGGTGTGGGCCTCAAGTGGTGGTCCGGCGAAGGTGAGGGCCTCAAGTGGTAGTCCGGCGAAGCAACAGCGTTAGAAGGTGGTCCGGCGGAGGTGAGGGCCTCAAGTGGTGGTCTGGCGAAGGTGAGGGCCTCAAGTGGTGGTCCGGCGAAGGTCTGGCGGCGGTCCGGCGAAACTCCGGCTGTGGTCGAGGAGGAGCTTCTTCCTTCTCTTCCTTCTCTTCTTGCTTCGATCCCCTTTCAAGAGAAATGAGGGGTCTATTTATAGATTTTCTGGAGTGGCACTGCCTATAAATAGATGAGAGATCAGGGGCAAATGTGGAGTGGTTCAATGGATGGCCGATATTGAATCCCTTGATCATAGACCGTTCTTCAGACCTTTGAAGGTCTTAATCGTGTCAGAATTCAGCGATCGTGGGCTCGTTGGATTTGTCTCGTCGAGCCGCTCGATTTGAATATAAGCTTGTTATGTTTGAAAATCGTTTGGTAATCCAAATTGTGGTTTGAACCTTCAAACAGTGCTTCAGGTACTTGATTTGTACTCATTTGGGCTCAGATTGAGTCGAATTTGGTGTCGTTGGGTTCGTATTTCCGAGATGCTCAGTTTGACTATAAGTTTACTAAAATCGGAGTTCAGGTTATCCCTGATTTAGTTTTTGAAGTTTTCAGCTTGATTTTTGCCTCGAGATTCATACCTGATCAAGATAATATTTTGACGACGTATCAAGAATGTTGTTTCTTTTGATCATGAGTTCAAACTAAAACTTTTAAATTTATCATTGAACATTTCAAAAAAAAAAAAATTCAAATTGGTTTACAAATTATGGTCAATTCATGTTTCTTGGAGACTTGATTGATTGATTTTACCTAAATAAATATGAATCTAAAGTAGAAGAATAATTTGTTTTGCACATAAAATTGGGAGAAATCTCTAATTAACATAGTAGTAGTGTTTGTTTACGATGATTGCAACATAAGGTGAATAACTTTAACTTATATTTATATAAACTTTTGTTCAGTAAAATATTGTTATATGCGCATGCTTCACCCTGTCGACCCCAAGATCCTGTTAGCACAAGTTTCTCACAAAATTTTCTTCTTCTCACATGTTATTGGTCACTTGGTCCCATCGACGAGCCCTCCTATCGCTCCTCACACGCGATGCCCTGAGCAAGCTTCACCGATCTTACAATGCAACCACTAACAAATTTCATCGGTCCTATGCACGAGCCCCAACCAACTCCTATCGTTGTTTCATGATGCATACTCTAAGGTTCGTATATAGGTTTCAAATTTGGCTCTAATCAATTCAACCCGTATTTGAATCAAGGTTTAATTTGATTTAATTTCAAATTTGAAGCAATTAGAGCTATTTTCTCTTGGGACAATCTTTAATATGCATTTTAAATATATAAAAAATAGTAATTCGATTCAAAATAAACTTTTAAATATATTTTTTTCAAAAAAAATAAAATCACACATATTTTTTAATTTAGAATATTACAGAGCATATAAAATTAAATTTTCGGATTGAAAATTTTAAATGCCTTACATTCGACATTTTCTTCAAACCAAACCCTCTTAATAATATATATTAAAATTAAAATACTATTCAATATCCATGCCAGTTCTGCATAAATATCACGTACTTCCATGGCGTACTTAGAGCAAAAACCCTATACGCAGCTAGATGAAACCAACCATGAAGCTTTGCCTCCTCCCCTTCTTCCTCTTCTGCTTCCTCTCCTCCTCCTCTTACTCCCACCCTCACCCATTCGACCCCCTCACTCCCTCTGAACTCTCAACCATCCGCTCCATCATCACCTCCTCCCATCTCAACGCCTCCTCCTCCCTCTCCTTCCACTATGTGGGTCTCGACGATCCCGACAAATCCACCATCCTATCCTGGTCGGCCTCCTCCTCCCCCCTTCCCCCTCGCCGCGCCTTCGCCATCCTCCGCGCCGACCGCCAAACCCACGAACTCATCATCGACATCACCAAAGCCTCCATCATCTCCCACCACATCTACCCTGGCCCCGCCTACCCATCCTTCAACAATGAAGAGGAAGCGCAAGCCGGATTGCTTCCAATGAACTACAAGCCATTTTTGGAGTCAGTGAGGAAGAGAGGAGCGAAGATTGAGGATGTTGTGTGTACATCGTATGCGAGAGGGTGGTTTGGGGAAGAGAAGCAGAACAGGAGGAGAGCCGCGGTGCTCTGCTTTGTTGCCGGCGAGACGGCGAACTTCTATGCGAGGCCAATTGAGGGAGTAACGATAACGGTCGACTTAGATGATATGGAGATAGTGGAGTATAGGGATAGAGTGGTATTGTCGGTGCCGGCGGCGGAAGGAACAGAGTATATGGCGGCGAGGCAACGGTCGCCATTTGGACCAAGGGGGAACAGGGTCGTGGTGGTGCAGCCGGAGGGGAAGGGCTTCAGCATCCATGGCCATATGATCAGGTGGGCCAATTGGGACTTCCACCTGGCCTTCGACCTCCGTGCCGGCGCCGTGATCTCCCTGGCCTCCATCAACGACACGTCCGCCACCATGGCCGGTCGGAAGAGCGTTCTCTACCGGGGCTTTGTGTCGGAACTCTTCATCCCCTACATGGATCCTTGTGAGGAATGGTACTTCAAGACGTACATGGATGCCGGTGAGTATGGCTTTGGCCTCCTTGCTTCGCCGCTTGAGCCAACGGTCGATTGCCCGCCCAACGCCGAGTTCATGGATGGTTACTATGCGGCTCAGAATGGCGAAACTCTCCGCATATCCAACGTCTTCTGCATCTTCGAGCGATATGCGGGTGATCCTTCGTGGAGACATACAGAGACTTTGCTTCCGGGAGAAATAGTATGCTTTTTTTATATTATTAATTTTTTATTTAAATTAGATGAATAAATTTTCCATTTTTATATATTCCATTAATTCAAATCAGTCAATATATGAAAAAATCGTTTTAAATTAAACAAAGTCATCAATGGAGGAAAATCAATGAATGTTATGAGTTTTCATTTTTTTTTTCATCAGACTCCTATCGGAAGTCCGTCAAGCTTATAGAAAAATTATTCTATGTGAAATCCAGACCGAAAGAATCATTCGAACATATATGTGTACACACTGTGTATATCGTATATCAAATTTTTGTGCATACTATATATACTCGTAATCCGGAGTCCGAATATTATTACGTCCGAACTCTGCATAAAATAATTTCAGCAAATTTACGATATGTTTAGTTCAATATTATAATGGTTTAGAGGAGTTATTAATTTGTATTAATGTGATTTGCACAGATCACTGAGAGCAGAGAAGAGGTGAGCTTAGTTGTCAGAATGGTTTCAACCGTTGGAAACTATGACTACATGATTGACTGGGAGTTTAAGACCACTGGCACCATCAAAGTTTCGGTAATTAGATTTTTCTTCATTATTATTTATCTGTTTAATTAATCATTTATTAGTTGTGAGCTTTGGATCTATTTGGAACATTTATAATTTTGTATAAAATTAATTATGAAATTACATAGAGAAAATAAGTTAGGATCTGTTTAGAAATTAGAATGATGGGAAGTATTTTATAAATTTGCTTGTGAAATTTCTTTGGAGAAGATAATTTTGTTATTATAGTTACAAAAAATAGTTTTAAAATATTAAAAATTCTAAAAAATTATGAGAAATCAATAATAAAATAATAGTGAAATAAAATTATAATTATTATGTGAGAAGCAAAATAGTTTGAAAATTGTCTCAAATAGAATTTATGTTATTCTGGCTAAAAAATATAAGTTATCCCTTAGGGGCGGAAAATGGGTTCCAAGGGGGGGCAATTCCCCCCTCAAAATTTTTTTATATGGTGTTTTAGATAATTTATCTCTTTTTATTTATTTTTTAGTCTTTATTACAAGGGTTTTCAGGCAATTGCCCCCCCCTAAAAATTTTAAAATACTATGGTTTTTAGGTAATTGCTCCCAACAGGTCGAACCCCGCCAGGGGAGATACATATTCATAAATAGATGATAGTTATAACTACTAACTCTAAAATATCTCGCTACTTCATCTTTCTCCTCTCTCAGGCGGGTCTTACCGGAATTCTGGCCCTTAAAGCCTCCACCCATACCCACACCAACCAAATCAACACCGACGAACACGGCGAGCTCGTGGGCCGCAATACCATCGCCGTCTACCACGACCACTTTGTCACCTTCCACCTCGACCTCGACGTCGCCGGTCCGGCCAACTCCTTCGTCAAAGCCAACCTCAAAACCGTCCGGTCCAACTCGGCCCATCCCACGCCGAGGAAGAGCTACTGGACCGTCGTCAGGGAAACGGCGAAGACCGAGGCGGACGCACGGATCCAACTCGGCAGCACGGCGTCGGAACTGCTTATTGTCAACAACGGGGTGAGAACTGCGTTGGGAAACGCGGCAGGGTACCGTCTGATTGGCAGTAATGCGGCGGCAACATCGCTTTTGAGTGATGATGATTACCCGCAGATTCGAGCGGCGTATACAAAGAAGCAGTTGTGGGTGACGCCGTATAACAGGGAGGAGAAATGGGCAGCCGGCCTTTATGCGGATCAGAGCAGGGGAGATGATAATTTGGCCCAATGGAGCATGAGGTAAGTACCTTTTATACTTATAAAAATAGGATTAATTTTTTTTTTCCGGACATATGAAGCACTCAATTTAGATCAACTAAGATAAACTCATGCATGTAATACATATACAACACGTCAATTCAAGACTTCTTAGTTTGTTGAAAGTTTTGGCTACTAGCTAAGGAGAAATTATCTGTGCAGAATCAGAACAGAGAGGACCGTTCGGATTTGCTGCGTATTTGTAGATGCACATTAAATACCAAGCAAATATTCAGCTGTGAGTATTTGCTATGTATTTAGTGAGAATTTGATGAGTTTTTGCTGAGTATTGATTGAGTATTTGCTGATTATTTGTTGAGTATTTATTGTGTATTTTAAAATAAACAGTAAATCCTCAACAAATAATCATTAATCTAGACGATCCTTTGCGTTTGGAGTCTGCACAAAATAATTTCTCCTGGCAAAGAGAAAGTTTTGACTTTTTTAGAATAAAATCATCACATATATAAACTTCGAATTCAAAATCTCTTGATTTTGTAGTCATAACTCTTAACCAACAAACTAAGATAAGTTGCATAAAATATGATTAATTTATATACCACTTTCCTTCTAAATTGCTTTTTTAGAATAAAGCATTTAACATAGCTCGCCTTGGTAAACAACTTTCATATTGCTTTCTAAAGTAGTTTTTTAGTACATTTTTTTTTGAAATTTTTATACTAAAAAGTTGCTTTAGAAAGCTGTAAGAAAGCCATCTCAGACGAAGTCTTAATTGGAAGTTTTGGCTACCAGTTAAGGGTCTTGAGTTTACGTGTTATATATGTATTGCATGAGTTTATCTCGATTAGCCAAAATTGCATGAGTTTATGTATTGCATTAATTACTTTCTAATAATTTTCTTTAATATTCTTTCAAACAGGAATCGATCAATTGAAAATACAGATATTGTGTTGTGGTACACAGTGGGGTTTCATCACATTCCAAGCCAAGAAGATTTTCCATTAATGCCAATGTTGACAGGTGGATTTGAGCTACGACCCTTCAATTTCTTCGAGAGAAATCCGTTGATTAACACTGAACCATTTAATAAGGTTTTGTCAGCTCAGTCGACTACTCAGACCAGCAAAATGGCTCAAGTGTGAAAAAGTTGGCAAGCCGCTTATTAGAGCTTTGAGGCTTAAAAGAGTATGGCCATTTGGTCTATTTTTAAATATCTTTTGAGTCATGTTCTTTCTTAATTTTGTTTCAAGTTGTTTGAACCAAGCTAAGAAAATTGCTTCCAGTAGTTTTGATTGCAGTATTGAATGAGAAATCTCGTGATTGCACAGCTCATCTTGATCTGTTGGTTAAGAGTTTTGGCCATCAATCAAGAGGCTTTGAGTTCGAAGCTTGCGTATGTGATGTGTGTATGAATTTGTCTTAATTAACTTAAATATTTCAAAAAAAAAATAAATATCGTGATTTCACTATAAGATATATTATTTTAATAAGTACATATAGTATATTATTGTGTGCTAGTACTCATATTGAAAAGAGAGGGAAAAAGAGTACAAACATAGGACATAAAATTTGTTATGTGAAAAGAAAAAAATATTTGAGAAGGGAAAAGTCAATTGGAAATAACTCTGATTAGTTATAATAATTAATGGATAAGAAAGGATCAAATTAGTATTAATATGTTTAGTTGGTGTTGTCAATATATTAAGGTTGAGTATAGTGAGAGTTATTCTCTAGAAGATGAATTTAGTCTAATAAGAAAGTGACAAAAGGGGAAATGTTTCAAATAATCATAAACAAAATTTGGGATTAGTTTCAAATAACTCTAAACTGGCAACTGAGATTTGTTCAAATAACCCTAAACACAATATAGAGATAGTTAGAATTATTCCCCACCCTTGTTCAACTTCTTGACTAAAGAAGGATAAAATTATTAGTGCCCCTATAAGATTCATATATAGTGGATTCCATAAGACCAAATCCTAGATTTTGGGTTGAAAACTATTTTAGAGATATCTAAAATCATGTTACAAGGTTGACTCTCGATTAGCCCTTTTGATTAGGGCTGCAAACAAACTGAATGTTCGACAAGCTACAAAGAATTCAGCTCTATTGTAGCATCATTATAATCATTTTATTTACTAAGCAAACAAGCTTGAACATTTTTTTAATACTTGGTTGTTAAATAAATAAACATGGATAGTTTTTTTTTTTACTCATTTATGTTCATGAATAATATCATTTGAAGCTCATAAATAGGCTCAATAATAAGCTCGATAAGAAGTTTAATTCATACTTGATATGGAGATTATGAACAAGCTCATTTAAAAACTCAATTGATGTTTGAATTGTCACTCAATTAAGTATCATTATGACTTATGAAAATGATGATCAATTTAATTGGAATGATTTATTTATATTATAATTTAGTAATACAAGAGATCATTAATTAAAAAAAAAATTAAAACTAATTTAACATCATAATTTTTTTACTTTGGAACTAAATACATTTCTTAAGATTGGTTTCAATCTTTAGTTAATATATTTTCACATAATTTTTGCAAATATGAACAAGCACATGCTCAGCTCATTTACAACCCTACTTTTTGTCAAGGTTAACCATGACTAACCAAAATTTACTAAAATGCTCTTAATTCCTTATCCATGGCATTCTTAAGTCAAAGTCATGCACTTCACCTATCAATTGAGTCAAGCTGATATAGGATTATTCAAGGCACTCATGCTGATCACACCTAGCCCATGGTCAACTCATGTTGAACATGGTTAGGTCAAATTCCCAAATTACCACTAAGCTCCCTAGGTACTTTAGATAAATCTCATACAAATAGCTTTGATTTTGAATCAAAATAGTTAGAGATACGTACTCAAGGATCATCTTAGCCACCTAACACGTGGTCAACCCATGTTGAACATCGATAGGACAAAGTGACAAAAATACCATTAATTTTGGGTACTCTCACTGCATTCATTAGGTTTAACCCATCTCAACGCTAAAACTTCCCATCCAAACTCTGGCCAAGGTTTTCTAAGACCTTAACCTTACTCTCATAGGTATCCAAACCGACTTGGGCTATTCCAAACCACTTTGGGCTTGTCGAAGTGGGTAAAATAGTTTGTCCCAAGCCAACCGTGCGAATCGAAACCCAATGCAAACCAGTTTAAGCTTAATTAATCTAACTCTAGGCTTTCATTGGACCTTTAAAATCTTATACGCCTTTTCCATCTAGGCCTAATAGCTAACGCTACCAATATTACTAGGTCAACCATAGTCGAATCACCCAAGCTAACACATCTCAGAGAATGACCTCCACAATTATCCTCTAGCCTTAAAATCATTCAAGGATAGATGGAGAACCCTTATTGGAAAATCCCCATGTGAAAGCCTTTTTTTTTCTTCCAGGATCGTCCGGACGAAGTGGGATCGTCCGGGATGATCAATTCAAAATCTGTGGACAGAGAGGTTCGTCCCAGGACGAAGTCAAGTTCGTCCTAGGACGAAGTTAAGTTCGTCCGTACAAAATTTCTCCAGAGAGCAACTCGTCCTGAGACGATAATAATTTCGTCTGAACGAATTTTGTCCAGAGGAGAAATCGTCCCGGGACGAATAGGAATCGTCATTTGCGATCCACCTTTATATATATCCAAACAATCATTTGAAGAGAGAGAAAAATATCTAAGGAGAGAGAAATCGAAGGAAAAATGAAGAAAAGTGGATTTTGGGCGACTTCGGTCCGTTTTTGTCCGTCGCCGTAGATAGAAAAGTTGATCGACTCGAAGTAAGGCACATTCCGCCTTTCTTAATTTTCAGAAATGTGGATTTTGACGATTTTTCTGTTTTGAATTTTGTTTCCGTTAGCGAAAATTTGGTTTCATTTCGTACTGATAAATGTTTTAACGCGTAACTTTTGGTATGTTTCTGAGATGATGTTTTTGCACGTTTTGAGTATTTTTTGGAAGATTTTCATAGGATATTTTGAATTCTGGATGTTGAAAATATCTGGAGTTTTTATCGAATAACAAATTATTTGGATGCTGAAAATATTTGCTTCAGTACAATGAAAGTCTTGAAATGATATTTTCTGCTATCTGTGATAATTTGGTAAATTTCTGAAATTATGAATTCTGTGGAATTTTCGTATACTGCCGTTATGCCGCTGATGATTTTTCTGACGAATTCTGATTTCTGAATTTGATGATTTGATGTGTTTGTATGCTATCAAGGGAGTTAAAAGGGGCTAGAATCCTTTGAGATTCTGTTAGGGTCCGGGAATTTGAAATCTGAAAATAAGTTCTGATATGATAATTCTGTATCTCTGATATGTTCTGGTGCTGTAAGCACAAGGGAGGCATAAGGGATCAGGATCCATCGAGATTCTGTCTATGTCAGGGAAGGGAGGCATAAGGGGCCAGAATCCGTTGAGATTCTATCAGTGTCAGGGAAGGGAGGCATAAGGGGCTAGAATCCGTTGAGATTCTGTCAGGGTCCGGGAATCTGATTTGATATGTGATATGTGATCTGATCTGTTTTGATAATGTGCTTTATGATTTGTACGATTCTGTCTGTTCTGTGATTTGAATATGTAATTTAAAGATAATTCTGATTTGAAATCTGATTTGAATATTCTGTTATACGAAATGAATTCTTCTGTATCAGTGATTTGAATATTATGTTAATCAAGTATCTATATCATGTCTGATTATATGATTTTCTGTACGATTATCTGAATTTTGTATGGCTACTTTTCTGATATATTTTGGATGTGAGTTTCTGGAGATTTTGATTGGATGGTGTAGTCTTGTTGAGCTGTTAGCTTATTCTTGTTATCTGCGTGGTTTTCAAGTTCTGGGAAAGGGAAGGAGGTCTTAGACTAGCCGTTCAGTGTTTGATCTGGGATTATGTATTTTGTACTTTTGATTTTTGTACAGTCATGAATTTTCTGTTCTGTTCCTTCTGTTGGTAGCCATGCACTGTAATGTACATGATTATTTTTGATGAAATAAAGAAGAAAATTTCGGATGAACTTTTCTGTATATTTGGATGTTTATAGTAGCTCTGTGTTTTTTGTATGTCTGTTTATTAAAAGAAAGTCTGAAAGCAAATTCCAAAACTAGATCCTGGATTAATCCTGAAATAAAGAAGGGATTCGTTCCGGTCGGGTTGGGTCGTGACACCCCAGTTGCCTTTGCTAACTCAGGTTGCTTGTAGTGGCCAAATTTTTGTCTAGATGCATTCCTAAAACATTATAAATAGACCCACTTAGGGCCAAAATCGTGCACAAAACATAAGAGTTATATTCCCCATTACTAGTGAGATATATCCTACCCTCTCGTAGCCTTTAACCCTATTCTGTAAACATAGAGACCAAGCTCCGATGATTCATGCTAGGTTAGAACTCAAATTCTAATTTAATCACCCTCAAACTTGAACTTTTTCAACAAATTTGTTCATGAAAGTCCAACAAACTCTTAACTACTCTATGTGCATGTTGGATCTTTGTATAAAGACTCTACTACCATAGAATTTTTAGCACCTACTATTTTGGTACCATCTTTGAGAAACATTCTTAACGTATAAGAAATAAGTTTTAATGGTTGATTGTAATCCCTCAATCAATGATAGCATATTCTAGGTGATGAAGGTGGCTTAAGACTTACTTTGTATGCTCTTATACATATAAAGAAAGAACTTCATGTTTAAATCCTGTAATATTTGGAGGAGATTGGATAATAAAGAACATAATCACAATATGATGGTGTTCTCCTTTCACAAAAGTAACATTAGTTTTAAGTTGATCCATTTGGTATCATATGGGTGGTACCTCCTCATAATCCAGCTCACCTTCCACCACAAATTTAACAAGTTATCTTGAATACTACCTGTTCAACCCATGTGCCAATCCCATTTGAAAAGATAATGTAGGATCCTTAATCAAGAGTCTTCTTGGGCTCCGACTTAAGATGTAATTAACCACGGGGGCTTGCACTAGTGGGAAACTGAATTCCACCATCTAATAAACCCCACTCGAGCTGATGTATTGGGTGGGGGAAACCCGTTGTTGTGATCAGGCCATATATATTATTACCCATCGAGGTACGTAGGCGAGAGTGTCTATCCTCCATGGTT